AAAAAAAAAAAAAAAAAAGCTGTCTAGAAACAAGCCAAGCTAAGGCCAGGCATTCAAAAGTAAGAATAAGTCTCTATGTATTTATTTGGGAGCTGGATGGTGGATCCCTAAGAGAAAAAACAAAAACAAAAACAAAAACAAAACCAAACATCACCCTAGCCCCCCTTTTTCCCTTTTCCCCTAGAGAAGTGGTTCTCAACCTGTGAGTCTCGACCCCTTTGGGGGTCGAAGAACCCTTTTCACAGGGGTCAAATATCATATATCCTACATATCAGATGTGTATAGCATGATTCATAACAGTAGCAAAATCACAGTTATGGAGTAGCACTGAAAATAAATTTTATGGTTAGGGATCACCACAGCATGAGGAACTGTATTAAAGGACCTCAGCATTAGGAAGGTTGAGAACCGCTGACAGAGACTGAAATAAACTGTAAGAAGTTAATTCTCATGAGCACTTTTCTTGGGCTGGCAATATAAACTAGCGTAGTAACAGCACTGCTGATTTATCTGCTTTATGCATAGTTATTCTTTGAAACAGAAAGGTCACATTCCTTCAGCTATAAAACAGGTTTGTGTTGTTCACTGCAGAAAACATGGGAAAACCCACTAGAATTTTACAATACATTGATGTGAGTTGGTCCTGATTTCAAGTATTTTAGATGTTGGATGTTTTTCTTATGCCTGAGAAATGGAAAAGTACGGAGTTCATTTGTTTAGTCTCTAGAACAGAATCTTTTTCATATTTGATGGATAAGGAATGTGAGATACAGATGAGTCCAAATGATTCAAATTAGCCTTAAAATCTGGAATTTAAGTCCAGATTTGTCTGAATCTGAAGATTACTATTCTGTGTTGTATTTCATTTCTTAATGGCCTCGGAGGAAGTTTCAATTTTCCTTTCACTAATGTAAAGTCAAAATTTGGGATTGACAAGCTCTACATGCCGATAGACTTCTCTCCATCTTCAGCCCTGAGTTACACTTGACTTTCACAGTGTAACTGGCCCCATAGTTAGACTGGACCGGTTTGCTCAGGCAGAGCCCTGCCAAGACCACTCAGTCAAAGTGGGGGTGGGGCAGACAACTGTTCGGGTGCTGTTTGTTGTTTTAATTCACTGTGGATGGTTTGTTGCCAGTGCCTGCTAGCCTCATCAGGATGTAGGCTGTACCTACAGCACTGCTAGCCTTAGCCTCGTGGGAGTCACAGCTGCCATCTACCCTCCACCCTCACCTCAGTGTCCCAGGCAGACAGTGGTGGTGGGCAGGCCAGGGTGTGGCCCCTAGTAGGTGTGGGAGGTGTATCATACTCTGTTGACTGCCTCTGTGCCCACATCCTGTTAGTCTTCAGGACTGTATGACGACAACAAATATTGACCCCAATTTCCCTAAGTGTAGGCCTCTCTGTGTTTATTGGCTGAGCACATTGGAAGCCACTCATCTGGATGAGTATGTAGCGCCCCAAGTGCCTACAGCTAAAGGTAGTCAGTAGAAAACACTCTGCCTTTAGACCGAAACAACACTTTATGCCTAGGAATCCATGCCAAGTACCCACAGGGATAAAAAACTCTTGAGGGAACTCCTGGATTTCTTATTTCTCAACAGAACTTATGCTTTAGTAACATTAGCTCAGATGTGTGTGTATTGGTAATACTCTCAGAGGTTCCTCTTCGTGGATCATATTCTCTCAGTTCCTAGCCCTACATATACACATTACATTTCCTGAGCCAGGTGGGCAGGCCTAGAGCTCCAGCATGTGGGAGGTGGAAGCAAGAGGATTGGGAGTTCAAGGCCACCCTCATCTACACAGTAAATTCAAAGTCAGCTTAAACAACAGGAATCCCTGTATCGTTATGTTGACCAGTTCCTCCCTGGGCAGCTCTTTCTGAGTTTTCCCAGCTAGATGTTGCCTGGTGCTGAGGGACATGGAACCTTGAAAACAGAAAGCTGGTCTCAACTCCACCTGTAAACAAAGAGATGATCTTGGGAAAGCACTCTCATCTTTGAGATAGCAATCGTGATTACTAACACCCGTGGTGCAGGAGCGTGGGGATTAGCCAAGTAAATGCTGCCACTCTGCAAGAGCTCATTAAATGCCAGCTATCTGTGGTCATCAGTATCTGGCTTGTATGTGGGCTTGGAGAGCATGGGAAAATGACCCAGGCATCACAGGATTTGCACTCATTTTCAAGTCTTGCTTATACTATGTGGCATATGGTACTACTCGTACTTTTACTTTCACGGAGTTTGCAAACGGAAACATATTGTCTTAAAATCCCATTTCTTTACGTAAATGTTCTCTCTCACATAGGCATGCAGCCTAGCTCATGACAAGGCCCTCAGGTGGACAACTTGTGGGAGTAGGTTCTCTTCTTCAGCCATGTGGGTCTGGAAATGAAAGACAGGGAGGGCATCAGATCATTCCAGTTCAGGGACAGAGGTAGGAAAAAGGGAAGAAGCTCTGCGTAGTAACACACTGTCTTGTTTCAGGTGCACAGTATTCTTATCCTCTCATTACAAACAACACAAGCTTATTGAGTAACTTGCTCAAGGTCACACTGCTGCAAAGAGGCAGGGCAAGTACTTAAGAACAGCCATTTAGAACCCCAAGCCCATTTTCTGCTCATTATATTGTGTCAGTGGATACAAAATTAGCTTATCTGAGATTTTGATGGCTTGTAAGTGGTCTGCTGTTTGTTGTTGGTCTGCAGTTCTCCTGGAGAGTGGAGGGCGTGGAGAGGAGTGTATACAGGTGTGAGCCTGGGGGCTGGTTAGTATGCCAAGGCTGGAGCTGGAGGACCAGGGTGTGGAGAGGAGGGTACACAGGTGTGAGCCTGGGGGCTGGTTAGTATGCCAAGGCTGGTGCCATCTCCTTTCTTGGTGGCCAGGTTCCTGCTCACCCTAGTGTTTATTATCTGAAAGACCAACCACCATCCCCAAGTAGGGGTGTGACTAATCCCCTCAGAGTGGTTTCAGTTTGGCTGCGCCACAGAATGCTTCAAGAACGATTCTGAGCTGAGAAGAGAAGGGCCTCCTGCTTACCTGTTGCCCCAGACTCCTCAACCAGTTCGGGGAAGCCATGGGGCACGTCAGAGAGTTTGAGCAAGTGGAAACAGGATGTGTTCCATCCTGAAGGTAATTAGATGGCTAGTGTAGTAAATGGTAATGAGGTGGGTGAAGGCTCACTACAGGAAGGCTTCTGATTGGCTGAATGATATTTTCCTTACCTGGATAAATATTTTGCAACAGTTACCTGGGTGAAAACCAACTTCCTGTAAAAGGGCTGATTAAAAAAAAAGTCAAAACAAAGGAGAGACTCTTGTGGGTTGAGTGCCCTGCACTATAATTATTTCCCAACTAATGATACCGACTCAACTTTATGCAAAGGGAAGATTTGAAAATAATTCTTACTGGCTAAGGTGTACTCTAAAGTGCATGGCTACTGCTTAACAGTTTCAAAGATAAGGACCACTTCTTATTATTCAAACAGAATTCATAGCTGGTGAAACCTTCTTTTTAAAAATTAAAGCCATTGCTCACAATATGGTAGAAAGTCTTTTGTGTGCCTCAGGAGCCAGAAGAGTCTGGGCCTGGAAAATTCTTTTGAGACTTTGTTTTCAGTTCCGTAAGTGAGACAATACATTGATTTCTAATTGGTGTTGAAAAGATCAAGTGAGATTCTGTCCAATTCAGGCAATGTACAGTTTTGAGTGCCAACCCTGTGCTAGGCACAAGGACAAATACTAGGAACAAAAAAATGAAATTGTCCATGAGTCCTGAAGTGGTACCGTGATGAGCCTTTGTTCATCTTCTCTTTCATTATCTTATCTTATCATTGAGAGAAAACAGGATATCTGTCTTTCTGAATCTAGCTTATTTTGCTTAGCATGATGACCTCTAGTCCCATTTATATTTTTCTAACAATATCATTCTCTGAGTAGATCTGATACAGACACAATTTTATTCTTCTTTACAACCAAATAAAACTCCATTTGCATGTATTTGCCACATTTTCTTTATCCATTCACCTGTTGATTGGATTCATATCTTGGCTATTGTGACTCACGCTGCTCTGAACATGAATATGCATTTCGATGTTGACTTAGATTCCTTCAGGTATATGCTCAGCATTAGGACAGCTAGATCATAGAGTGGTTATTTTCAGTTTTCTGAGGAATCTCCATACTGATTTTCATAGTCATTGGTGTATAAGGGGGGGGGGTCTCTTTTCCTGAATCCTTTCTCGGTGTCCTTTGCTTTCTTGATGATCTATGTTGGGTCTTGAAGGTGTGTATTGTTGTATCAGAAGCAGGAAGGGGATGGGGGTCCTGCAGGCAGAAGGGTCAGCGTGTATCTATGTAACATCATAGGAGCACCTGTCAGCCCTTTGGGTGTAACTGAAGTAGACAGATAGTGGGAATGGGTAGGGCTCTGCAGAGTTCTCTCTCAACCTAGCTTCCTGCAGATTAGAGCAAGGGGCACCAGGAAGGAAGGGATACTGTCAAATACTCCAGCAGGAGCAGACAATTGATGGTCTCTTTTAATGCTGTCCTTGATAAGACAGAGCCAGACAACAGCTACTCAACTATGTAAAGCAAACCTTTCATCTTTACTTCTTCCAAGTCTGCTCTTCTGGGCAATGCTGTGTCTAGTTCTAGTGATTTCTTGTCACTTTCCAGGTGCAGTTTCAATTGCATTCCCTGGCAGAGCCTTAGGCTCAGTCTCAGCCAAAAGTCATGTGTGTGTAGGACCTAATGGCTCTCATTTGCAATATAACCTGCCCTTATGTGCCCCTAACTCTATCCCTGAGAAGATTACAGGGCAATGGCTAGGAAAGGCCTCCCTTGCTGTGTGTGTACTTGAGGACTTGGCTGGCTCTGTTCTCTCTCACACTGCCTGTAACTCCAGTTCCAGGGGATCTGACACCCTCTGCCATACTCTGTGGGCACCCACACACATGTCATACAGTCTCCACTCACCACCCTGCCATTGCTTCTTCAGCAGGGCTGTGAGAACCAAGCTCCCTTGAAACCAGTGCAAGGCAGCTCACTCACAGTGCTGTCTTCTCCCTCCACCCATGGATCCGGAGCACCATGGCTGCTCTCTTTCCTCCTCTGGGTTATTTGGACAGCTCAAGAAGGAAGAGCAAGTGTGACATTCAATTCAGATCAATGGACAGGCATGGCCCACAAGTCTGACTGCAGAAATCTCAGCGAAGGAGCCAAGAGCTGGTGAGTAAAATGTGCTTCAACTGCCCATCAGGCAGACGGTCACAAGTGGAAAGATTCATAATAAAGAATAGTTTTTCCTGAACCGATAGATGGCAAAATGGCATACCTGACTGAACTTATTATTGTCCATGTCTGTCATTTCTGATGTACTGGAAATGTTTAGATTATTAACAGAGACTCAAATAACCATAGAATATTATGTGCTTCATATACATCCATTTGTTTCCCCTTATTTCAGCTCAGTGATTATTATAGCTAGGATCTTTATACTATATATTATGTAATGTAATTAATAATAGTACAAAAAACTGAAAATACATTGCTAGACTATTGATGGATTTCTTTGATAAATTTATTATTTGTTTTCCTTATATTTATAGTATGCAAGGTCCTCTAAAATATAAATAAAAGACAGTTCAGTTAGTTAAACTTTAATTATTAATATTCAGTATAACTATATTCCATGTGATATTGAGTGTAATATTTTAATGTATGCCCCAAATATTGAATGGGGCATACGTATACTAAAAATTGTTCTTTGTTTACTCAAGAATTCAAATTAATTGAGCATTTTGTATTTTTTTTCTGTTGTCTAAATGATTGCTTTATCAGAAGACTAAATAAGTACTAAACTGCAAGGATGTTAAATGGAACCCAAGATAAAGAAATACTGATCCCTAAAATCTAGAACCTTAACGAAGATGCCCGGGAGTGAGATGCCTAATATCCTTTCTATCTTTTGCTGGAGGCAGGCTGAATCCAAAAGACTGATTTCTTATCACGAATGCCTATGGGAAATTAGAGATGAACTCTTTGCTCTCACGTAGCCTCAGAGTATCATTAGTTCATTTTCTGATTTAGTTTAATTACCAACTCTCCTCTGTATTTATGTACTCATTCATAAATTGTTAGGATAAACCTGTTAATGTCCCCGGCACAAAACACTTGATAGTTGCAACAACGCCCTAGGTTGAATGCTATTTCCTGCTTTGTTCAGCACAGAAGTGAAGCTCACTGAGATTAGTGGTGTGCCTGAGATCACATGCTTGCTTAGTGACAGGTGCAGGATTGGCATCACTGTTGTTCTGAGTTCTAGTGGAATGCAAGCTGGTGTGCAGAGGGGAAGAAGAGTGCACCCCTTCTAGTGCCTACTGCACCCCAAGGTCATCCTTATACACTTGAGACTGTTGACAACCGTTTTTGTTCAAATTAGATTGAATTCGGACCTCTTAGGGGAAAAAAATAGAAGAAATAACCAAATTGTTTCCATAAGATAAAAACTATAATGGGAAAAAAAATGCTTTTTCTATTTTCATCCTACTATGAAAAATTGAAGTAGTTAAAATTGCCAAAATAGTTTCAAAAAAGAATAACCAAGTTAGAGAATGTACATTATTCAATTTTAATACTTTATAATAATCAAATACCTGTGGTTTTGGCAAAATGATTGGTGAATAAATCAGTGATAAAAACCGAGCATCTATCTAGAAATAGCTGCTGTATTTGTGGTCAATTTTGAAATGTGTACATGGAGGAAAACATGCTGGGGGAATTGGATATCTGCTTTTATAAAAACAAGAATGACATACTTGATGTTAGGTCTCCATCCCAGGAAAAAAGGCTAACAGAGATGCCTATTTAACATAACAAAGCAGACATGGCCACCAGGTTCTCCCAGCATCCTTTAGTCCCTACCTGTTACAGGGTATGGCTGGCATACCCTACCCCCTACCCTAGATTTTTCCAGCCCAGGGGTGGGGGTGCTCTTCCCCTACTTGCCCTTCTAGCTAATTTGGTTGCCTGGCCCTTTTTGTCTCCCGGTCTCTTGGCTCTCCCCTCTCCTCTCCTGGATCTCCCCACATGATCAGGGTTAGGGTCATATGCTCACTTTGGACTCTCCCAGATGTCTCTTCCTCTGGCTATACTCCCCCTCTATCTACAATAAACCTTCTCCTCCACCATACCTAGGAGCAACCATGTTTTACCTTTTTATTTCTTTTTTTTTCATTCATTTAGATTTGTCATGTATACTATACACACAAATGAACCTACACTATATCACAGATCTCAATATAAGATCAAACCATAAGGCTATGCTGTTTGGTCAACTTGACACAGACTAGATACAACTGAGAAAACAGAGCCTCATTTGAGGAATTGCCTTCTTCAAATTAGTCTGTGGGCAAGTCTATGGGGGAATTTTCTTGATTGCCAACCGATGGAGGAGGGCCCAGCCTGCTGTGGGTGGTGCAACCCCTGCACAGGTGGTCTGGGGCTGTATATGAAAAGCTGTTGGAATCAAGCCTGTGAACTTCATTCTCCCGTGCTTCAATTCCTGCCTCCAGGCTTCTGCCTTGAGTTCCTGACTTGACTCTGTTTAATGATGGACCCTAATATGGAAGTAGAAGCCAGACACACTCCTTCCTTACCCGTCGTTCCTTCGATCATGATGTTTTTATCATAACAGAAAGTTAACTAGGACAGAAGCTCTAGGAAAACCTCATAGGAGGAAAAATCTTTGTGAACTCGAGTTAGGCAATTATTTCTGAAGTATGACATGAGTATTTATGTAGATTTATCACCAGAAGATTCACGAAAGCAAAGCGAAAACAAAAGATTCAGGAAGATGCTTATCTCATCAGTCAGGGAAATACACATAAAACCATGGTGAGATACCAGTACATGTCCCTCTGTAAAAGAAAAAGACATCGAAAGAACACCAAGTGTTGGAGAGAATTTGACATGCAGGAGCCTTCGCACACCTTGTGTGAATTTAAAAATGGGTCAGTTTCTTTAGAAAGCTACTAGAAATTTAAAGCCAGGAGAGGTAGTACAAAGCTTTAATCTCAGCACTTGGGAGGTAGAGACAGAAACAGACTGATTTCTGTGACTTTGACACCAGCCTGGTCTACATAGTAAGTTCTAGACTACAAAAGGCTGTATGGTGAGACACTGTCTCAAAAGAGAGAGAGAGAGAGAGAGAGAGAGAGAGAGAGAGAGAGAGGTATACATTTACTATATAGTCCAATAATAATTCTTTTATATATTAAATCAAGAGAAATTAAAATGCATACCCAACAGAGAATTGTGTATGAATGCTCATACCAGCATTATTCATCAATGCTCCACATGCCAATCAACAGATAAGTGGGCGGAGAAAGTGATACAGTCACGCTGTGTCATTGTACTCAGCCTTAACAAGGATGGATTATAAAAACACATCAGCATGAGTAAGACTCACAAGCACTGTACAAAATGAACAAAGTGTCATGTCCGTGACTGCCTCCCCCCAAAGGCTACATATTTTACAGTTCAGTTTATGTGAGGTTCCCGAAAAAAGTAAACTAGAGCTTGAGACCGAGGGGAGATTGAAAACCAACAGATGTAAATAAGGATGTGAGTTTACGAAAATCCATCCAGTCATACCCAAAGTGGGTAAGTTTTATGGTGTTCAAATCATACATCCTTTCTAAAATATGTGTTCATATAACCAGTCTCTTGTTCTGTCTGGTACACCTTTCACCCCATGCCCAACATGTCAGGGGTTTCTAAAATTCGGCAATTTCCAGTAGAAACCTATTTGCAAAGTCTATTCACCTGCTTGTTTTTGTCTTCCAGCTGTTGGCCCTGTTCTACACTACTGAAGGAAAGTATTATACAGAGCTATTCCAGAGTTCCATAAAAGATGGTTTCTTCATTGTTCACCCTTGGATAAGTGGGGAATTGACTCAAGAGGGGCAGTAAACTCTTAAATGTTCATATATACATAATGGAAGAGTGCCATTAGGGCCCAAATATCAAAGATAAATGTTTTGTGTTGTTGCTCTTTGTTGGTTTGAGACAGAGTCTCACCATGTAGCCCTGGCTGGCCTATAACGTCACAAATCAGGCTGGCTTTGAACTCACTGAGATCCTTCTGCCCGACTCTGAGTTTAAAGATGTTTGCCACCATGCCCAGCTTGCCAAGGATTTTTTTTTTCATTTGTATTCATAGAATTGATTGACACGGACATCAGCTCTTTGCCTGAATGATTCAGGGCAAAGGCTGTAGAGACAGCTCATCCAGCAGGAAGGCAGAATCTCCATGCTGTAGGAAGATTATGGCAGGCAAGTTCTTGAAGAACAACAACAATGACAAAAACAAATGACCAACTATCTCAGAGATAGAGACAGTATCCCTGACAGTGTTCCTGCCCCATTGTTTCTACGCTAGAGGATGGAGTAGTTTGTTGGGAGGGACTTTCTTAGCCAATTTCTTCGGTGGGCAAAATGATGACTCCAATGACTGATTCTAATTCTGGTACCACATCCCCCCAACCTTTCAGTCCTCATTTGATCGTGTCAACTGCCCCAAACTTTAATCACAATAGGATTTAGTTACTTAGTTATTTTTGCCTGCCCTAGTGCTGGCTACTTAGCTGGTCTGTAGCCCATCTTCAGGAGTATCACCTAGGACTTACTAGGGAAATAGAACCCACGCTCTACCCTAGACCTTCATTTACTTAATCAAGATTCTCAAGTCAATTTTCTACATATTAGGCTGTGGGAAACTCTTTTCACATTTTTCCTGTAACTATGCTGCAACCCCCTCCAACAACAACAAAAGACCAACTATGCTATAAAAAAAAAGACAACAAAGCCAAAAGACAACCAGTAATCTAAGAAGAAAACCATTGTCTATACATAAAAGTATTTTCTGCAAAATTAAATGCAATAACATTAAACAACTTTTTCCAGAACAAATTATGAAAGACATTAAGGTAGACAAAACAATGACTTTGTGTCTTTTTAAAAAAATTTTTAAGAGTTTTCTGCCTTGTCCTGCACAACTGACTGAGGTAGAGAAGGAATAGAGAAAAGACAAACTGACACCTGGACAGAAATACAATTCTATGAATACTATGAATACAAATGAAAAAAAAAATCCTTGGAAAGCAGGGCATGGTGGCACCCATCTTTAAACTCGGAGTCTAAATTTTTTTTTTTTTTATTTTGACTTTGAGTCTTGTCTACTAAATTTTTCCGGAATATTTGTGTTTTTCTTTGCCTTTGAGCTTTTTTGTTTTGTTTTGTTTTGGTTTCCCTGAGACAGTGTTTCTGTGTATAACAGCCCTAACTATCCTGAATTTGCTTCGTAGACCAGCTGGCCTTGAACTCACAGAGATCCATTCCCCTGCCTCAGCCCCCCAGTGCTGGGATTAAGTGTGTATCACCACATTGAGCTGCTGTTAATACTATAAGGTGTAGGAAAGGTACATATTAAAAACATATGTCATGTACATAATTCTTGTTATTCAGGGAGCAGAATTAATTGATAATTTTTCTGCCGATTTTGGCCAGTTTTGCTTCTACATGCTTCTGCATGTAAGTCTCTCACTGAATCACCTACCTGCCTCTTCATCTGCATGCTACCCGAGCTTGTCTTCCCACTATCCATAGGCTCGGATTAGTTCTCTGCCTCACTCAGCTTTTCATTGCTGTAACAATACCTGAGAGGAACCAGCTTACAAAGAGGGGCATTTATGTTGATTGACACTTTTGGAGGTTTCAGATCACAGTTGTCTGCTTCTGGTATTTGGAGCCTGTGGTGAGGCAGCACATGGTGGCAGGAGCCAAGATAGCAGGATTCATCTCATGGTGGCCAGGAAGCAGAGATGGAGGAGATGGGGTGCCCCCAAAAAAGAACACACTCCCAGTGACCTGACTTCCTCCCACCAGGACCCACCTCTTCTTTTTATCTTTTCTTTTTTCTTTTTTTTTTTTTTTTGTAAATTTCCTGTAGGCATGTCTTTTTTTTTTATTTGAATTACAAACAAGATTGAATTACATGACAATCCCAGTTCCCTTCTCCCTCCCTTCCTCCCCTACCACCCCCCCAACTAAAATTCTACCTATCACATTTCCTTTCTTCTTCTTCTTCTTCTTCTTCTTCTTCTTCTTCTTCTTCTTCTTCTTCTTCTTCTTCTTTTTTTTTTTTTTTGGTTTTTCCAGACAGAGTTTCTCTGTGTAGTGTTGGAGCCTATCCTGGCACTCGCTGTGTGTAGGGAGCCGTTCCTGCATCCTCCATTACAATGATGGTGCATTTTGGTGTCTGCAGGCACCATCATTGTAATGGAGGACGCAGGAACGGCTCCCTCTTCCCATTTTCTCAATTTGCTCAGGGGGTGGTGACCCTTTCCCCTTCTCCAGGGGACAAAGTTTGTCTCTTTTAGTGTCCTCCTTGTTTACTAGTTTCTGTGGCAGTGTGAATTGTAGGCTGGTAATCCCTTACTCTATGTCTAAAATTCACTTATGAGTGAGCACATATCATATTTGTCTTTTTGTGATTGGGTTACCTTGCTCAGAATGGTTTCTTCGAGTTCCATCCATTTTCCTGCAAATTTCAAGATTCCATTGTTTTTTTCTGCTGAGTAGTACTCCATTGTGTAAATGTACCACATTTTCTCTATCCATTCTTCAGTTGAGGGGCATCTAGGCTGCTTCCAGTTTCTGGCTATTACAAATAGTGCTGCTATGAAAATCAATGAACAGATGTCCTTGTTGTATGAATGTGCTTCTTTTGGGTATATGCCTAAGAGTGGAATTGCTGGATCTTGTGGTAGACTCATTCCGGTTTTCTTGAGGAGTCGCCATATTGATTTCCAAAGTGGCTGTACAAGTTGGCACTCCCACCAGCAGTGGAGGAGTGTTCCCCTTTCTCCACATCCTCTCCAGCATAAACTGTCATTGGTGTTTTTGATTTTAGTCATTCTGACAGGAGTAAGATGGTATTTAGGAGTTGTTTTGATTTGCATTTGCCTGATGGCTAAGGATGTTGAACACTTTCTTATGTGTCTTTCAGCCATTTTAGATTCCTCTATTGAGAATTGTCTATTTAGTTTTCTACCCCACTTTTTAATTGGATTGTTTGGTGTTTTGGAGACCAACGTCTTGAGTTCTTTGTATATTTTGGAGATCAGCCCTCTGTCAGATGTGGGGTTGGTGAATATCTTTTCCCATTCTGTGGGCTGCCGTTTTGTCTTGCTGACTGTGCAGGACCCACTTCTTAATTAAAAATTTCACACTCCCTTAAAAACACCACAGGCTAGTACACTATGGTGAAAACATACCATCGCAGGGGCAATCCAGGTAGGTGATAATAGGTAGCAGGTGTCTGTCCTGAGCTAATTCTGGTTTCCTACATTTGTAGATAGGGAAGACACATTCCTATGGCAGGAATACCTCCTTTCTCCCTCTTGGAGCGTCAAAGCGAGGCTTTGAAGACTGGTCCTCACTGGTGGCTATGGCTCCCTTGGGCCTGCTCAGTCTGTCTGGGAGGAAGTGAGTTCAGCCTGTGTAGGTAGGAAGGCTGGATGAGGAGTCAGTCTGTGGATTGTGTTCATTATCACCCTGCTCAATGGGACGATGCAGTCATCTGGCTTCAGGTAGAAGAGGGCAGGATTCTCCTTGGTACCCCAGGCATCTTGATTTCAGAGAAGCCCAGAACACCTGGTCTCAGCTTTTCTGTGAATCTGTATTTCTGTCCAGATGTTGGTCTGTCTTTTCTCTATTCCTTCTCTACCTCAGTCAGTTGTTTAGGATAAGGCAGAATACATTGGAAGATGACAGATACATTTATTGTAGAGATTGGCTTTCATTGTTATAAAAGCCAAGAAGTTCCATGGTCTGCCTGCTGACTAGTGAGGAAAGCCAGTGGCATAAATCAGTCTGAACCTGGAGAGCTGAGAACCAGCAGAGTGATGGTGTAAATCTTAGCCCTGGTGGAAGCCTTGGGAACCAGAGTGTAGAAGGGCTCTGGAACAAGCCTGGCAGCCAATGACACAAGAGCCAGCACTGCCGTTATTCAGGGCAGAAGAGTAAACAGAACAACAATGAATAAATACACCATATGTCTCTAGTCATTTTTTTCCTGCTATAACAGAACACCCAGACTGGATAAATTGTAAACAGTAGAAGTTTAGTTTGTGGTTCTGTAGGCTGGGAAGTCCAAGATGTCTGGCTGGTGAGGAGGGCCTTCCTACTGGATTATACTGGGGCAGTGAGTCAAGGTAAAGTGTGTGAGACATGGAGATGCTTTGGCTGAACCCTTCCCTCTGTAAATAACTTACTCCTGTGATAATGGAGTGCTGCCATTCATCTATCATAAGGGTGCTGCCTTCATGATCTAGCAATGTAGTTTTTTTTTTTTTTCTGCAATGCTGGAAATTGAATCCAGGACCTCATGCACACGAGGCAGCATTCCACCACTGAGCTGTGGCCCTAACCCCTCTAAGCACATCTTAAAGAGCCAATTCTCTTAATGCTGTTCCAAAGACAATGAAATGTAAGCCTGCATTTTGGAGTCGACATCTAAACCATAACACCACAGACAGCACAGAGAGAACTCAGGGAAGCAGCATATTCCCTTATTTTGACTTTTAAACCTTCTTTCTTATGAAAAGCAGCCAAAATACTTACCTCTATACTTGCATTAGGATGGCCAGCTGCATCTCTCATGGCTTGGCTGGATCAAATCATTAGGGATGTTTCTCTTACTTGGCTGGGTCCAATTATATGGTTTATGATTCATATATTACATATATATGTGTGTGTGTGTGTGTGTGTGTGTGTGTGTGTGAATAGTATAGAAGAACATTGGTTCCTTAGTACTTTAAGGCATCCTTCCAACAGTATAATTTTTACTCGGACCCACTCTCTAGGGACTCAGTGGAGTTATAGGCATTACCTAATGCAGTCTGGGCTAGGAGGAGAGATGGGAGGTACAATACCATTCATTGTATGGGATGAAAACCAAGAAGGGATCAGAGGTTTGCACAAGCCACACCCTGGGGGCCGAATCAGTCTTGATTTCTAGCCCTTGGTTCACATCTCTCTCTGGTTTTGCCCAGTGTTTCAAACAAATATGATTATGACAGCGAACATTTCATTTGCCTTATTCTAAGTTGAATATTCTACTTTCCAATGTCCTTTTGATGTTCTCAAGAGTTTGGAGGAGTTATGGTGGTAAATTTACTAACATAGAGAACCATAATGTTTGGAAACCAAGGTTTGTCCTGGGGCTGGGTGTAGAATCTCAGAGAAGGATATCACATGACCCTATGGCCCTATCCTTATTCTAAGATTTCATGATTAAGGATCTAAGAAATCGCCAAAGGACTAAACACTTGCAGAGTCTACTTGAGTGAGCTCAAGATGTTTACCCAGTGCACTAAATGCCTTTGGATAGCTGGCAGGCCATCTTACTTTTCCTTCTTTGAGGGAAAAGTGGTCCAAGGGGAAAAGAAAATGAAACACTACATAAAATTGCATCTTGCTACTTTCTCAGATGCCTTTTCCCTTTAACCATTCTCTGGTTCATTCATATATTCATGTCTTCATCCATTCTTCAAGCATTATTGAGTAAGATGTAGGGAAGCCTCATAGTCACTGTCCTCCTGAGATCTTACCATCCTATGGGTCTAAAAATAAATACAGTCTGAGCTGGTGAAGGAAAAATGTACAGAGTATTTAAGAGCCCTGAGGAAGGCACTTTATACAGCCTTGGGTGGCCAGGGTGGAGTGTAGTGGGATACACACACACACACACACACACACACACACACACACACACACACCACACCTGTAGCAGTGACCATGCCCATGTGGGTGTGGTCACAGGTGTGGACCTAATGGAGTAAGATTAGGTCTGGGGTTGGGACCTGAACTCACTCTTGGTTCTGGTCAGGTCGAAGAGAGCAATCTGCGTGGATTCTGGAGTGGGAACTTGTGGCAGTCATCTGTTTCTTGTGTAAGTGCCTTCTCCCCAAATAAAATTATATTAACCTATATTGATCCTAGTCCAGTGAATCTTGATCCACGTATCCACAGTGGAGGTCAAGGATGGCTTCCTGTAGGAGGTGACATCTTAGTTCAGAGCTCAGGTGTGCTATCGTCATCAAATAGAAGAGATAATGGAGGAGAG